TAGGGCTTAGGGTTTGGGGCTTACGGTTTAGGGTCTGGGTTTAGGGGCGAAGTTGAAAGTTACCTGACTGCACGTGGCGTTTCGCGTTGCTCTGGAGAGTACAGTAATCACGAACTAGTTGCGATTATGGCCCCTCTATAACTATACGGTTATACGATAGTATACTCCCAGAACCCTGTTCTATACACCCTAAACCCTAAGCCCAAAGCCCAAAGCCCTAAACCCTAAGCCCTAAACCCTAAGCCCTAAACCCTCTACCATGCAAACTTCTGCGAGCCTTCGAGGCTTGCTCCTCCGGAGGCGCCGCCTCATCGATCCACATCTGCAGCCATGTCTGCACCTCGGAGGGGCGTAGGGCTTGTGTAGGGGTTTAGGGATTAGGGTCTAGGCTTTAGGGTTTAGGGCTTGGGATCAGGGCTTTAGGGATTAGGGCCTGGGATCTAGGGTTGAGGGCTTGGGATCAGGATTTAGGGTCCAGGATTTAGGGTTTAGGGGCGGGCTTCAGGGGTAGAACAACAGTTGTCATGGCGTTGGATGCGCAACAACGGGTCAGAAGGGCTCGAGCCAGACTTACGTACTTAGGCCCTCGGTTGTCGGCCATGGCGTGGGCTTCTTGGGTTCTTTAATGTAGGGGCCTTAATAATTAGAATAGGGTTTTGGGTTATATTATACCATAACTATAATAAGGCCATCCCCCCCCCCAAAAAAAAAATAGTATAGGTAATTATTAAGGCCCTGAACCTTAGACCCGTATCGTAGCCATCTTTGTATTATAGAACCGTGTTAAGGAACCCTTTGAAGGAACCCCTAAAATAGTATAGGTAATGATTTAAGGCCTCTGAAACTTCGAAGCCATTTTTGTATTATAGAACCTTTTTGAGGAACCCTTTAAAGGAACCCCTGAAATAGTATAGGTAATTCTGTTAAGGTCCCCCATGCTTCGTCTCAAACGGTTCAGGTAAGTACTGGACCTACAGGGCCTCGGTGGGGACTCGACCCAGAAGCTTAGGATGTCAGAAGCCCTTAGGGTTTGGGTTCAGGGCTCGGGGTTCGGGGTTCAGGGTTCAGGG